AGATCTTGATTATTTATTTATTTCATTTTCCAAGCTGCTCCAGGGTAGCTTGCATGACTAATTCTGTAAAATGCAACACACAATAAAAAATAGAATTCCTAAAAACTGGGGGCCCTGAGAATATTTATGGGCAGCAAAATATTTCCAGTATTTCAGCAATAGCCCTGATAGTCACATATGGCTTTCCACTCACCATTATCTTCCAAAGCCTGAATGATCAAGTATACCTTAAGCTGGCATTGAAAGATTACTTCACAATCTTGCTCATTCACTAATTCATACATTAGAGACAGTGTAGTGCAGTAGTTAGAGTGTCAGACTAGGCCCCTGAAGACCAGATTGAAATCTGCACTCGGTCATGAAGCCTTGAGCCAGTCACTCTTGCCTCTCAGCCAAATCTACCTCACACGGTTGTTGTGGAGATTAAATGAGGAGGGGAGAACCACGTGAGCCTCCTTGGGCTCCTGAGAGACAAAGGTGGGATATAAAAGCAGTCAATCGATTTAGAAAGCATGGCATAACCATACACAGCAAGATTAGACTTCAAGTCCCATGATGGCGTGCAACTGCAAGTAGCGTGAAGACATATAACTGAAGACATATGGCTCCTTTTTCTGGACCAGGGTGAGAGGAATGCTTGGGAAATTCTGCTGGATATTGACAAAACAGATCTAGCTTTGCTAGCTCACACATTAACATTATGTAACATTATGTAAATACAGCTTTAGTTCGCTCCTTGTGGCAGCTATTCCTGCATGCTGAACCATCCACATGAAACAGATCAATTGCTGTGTATTTTGAATTGCTTTCCACTTTGCCTGAAACATTTTTTGATGAAATGTGGTGATAAAACAGCCTGATCCACATGGGGAGCTGTCCCACAATTTAGCTGACCTCCTTGAGGTAGCTACAATGTGTAAAGTAGGACCAATATAAAAAGGGAGGGGTGATTTTCATAAACATCTTGTCAGTGTTGAAAGGTCACACCTACTATTTGTGAAGCGTTACTCTAGATAGACTTCCTTTGTTCTCATTTACCTGATTCACATCCATTTCCTAGTATCATGTATGTGGACAGTCCTGGAAGCAGCATTCACTTTAAACAAGCTTTATTTGCCCTCAGCAATGTCAGCACTTAAAGTCCAAATCCGATTCATGAGCCTCACAATGTGATCCTATTCACAATATGATTCCAAAATGGCTGAGGACATTGAAGGAGGAGGGTGTTTGAACTGGGAGAAAATTTATGTGTAGTTTTATAACAATTGGGATGGCTTATTTGATAGAAAATACATTCTGTGTTGTAGGTTTTTGTTTTTTTTACATTTGTCATGATTCTGTTTTCATCCCCAAAATTGAAATAGGTGTGCATCTAGTGCAGCCCTTTTGCAAACTTTTCATTCGCTGCCTCTCTATCCCAAAACTACCTCTCAGTACAGAGGCCCTTCAACAAAACTTAGCCACTTTTTGGAAATGGAGCAAGACCTTGGGGAATGGGTGGTGCTGTGGTCTAAACCACTGGGCCTCTTGGGCTGGCTGATCGGAAGGTTGGCAGTTCAAATCCGCATGGCAGGGTGAGCTCCCATTGCTCTGTCCCAAATCCTGCCAACCTAGCAGTTTGAAAGCATTCCAGTGGAAGCAGATAAATAGGTACTGCTGTGGCGGGATGGTAAGTGGTGTTTCTGTGCACTCTGGTTTCTGTCTCGGTGCTCCGTTGCACCAGAAGCAGTCTAGTCCTGCTGGCCACATGATCTGGAAAGCTGTCTGTGGACAAACGCCGGCTCCCTTGGCCTGAAAGCAGAGATGAGCACTGCACCCCATAGTTGCCTTTGACTGGACTTAACTGCCCAGGGGTCCTTTACCTTTACCAACCAAATGATCAAGGGGATGGAGCAACTCTTCTATGACCAAAGAAGCACTCTTAGTATAGAGCAGGGGTCAGCAACCTAAGGCCATGGGCCACAAGCAGCCCACAGGTGTCATTTAACCAGCCCACGAGCTGCCCCTAAACTGAGCTGCCTGCTCGGTGAGTCCCCACGCGCTGCACTAAACCGGTGCTGTGCAGCACAGGGACCTGCTTCTGCGGTGCCAGAAATCATGTCTGCGCATGCGCAGATGCCGGAAATTGCGTCTGTGCAGATGCAGATGCCGGAAATTGTGGGCACGGGCACTCACGCGCACACACGACCCAGCCCACAGAGGAATCTCCACTGGAGTGAACCAGCCCAGGCAAGGTAAACCTTGCCGACCCCTGTTACAGAGAAAAGACAAGGAAGAGCTGACATGACAGTGGCTTATAAAATTATGCGTGGTAGGGAGAAATTGGAGAGAGAGAGAAATTATCTCCCTCTCTTGTAATGCACAAACTCATGGAAGATTCAGGAAAGATAAAAGAAAATTCTTCATGCAGCAGATAGTTAAACTATGGAATTTGCAGCAGGAAGCAATGATGGTCGCCAAGAGGGATGGCTTTAAAAGAGAATGGGGCAAATTCAGGGAGGGTGTCTGTTCCTGACTACTGGGCGCAATGGCTATGCTCTTCCTTATGTTTGGAGGCAGCATGCTTCCCAATACCAGCTGATGTTTCTCTCATGTCATACTTGCAGGCATCCCATAGGCTTTGGGGGTGAAGCTGAATGAAATGGACACTGGGGGAGGGGAGAGAGGATTTTACCTGGTATACACTTCTCTACCTGTCAGGCTGCTGTCCATGTCAATAATATTTGATTGGAAACATCTCTGCTCATGAAAAAAGCCCAGGAGGGGAGGTGACTTGTAGCTGTTCATGCATAGAATTAATGTGAGCTGGTCCTTGAGCGCCATTGCAAAATGCTTTGTTATTATGAAGGGTGGACTGACAGAATATTAGCCCCCTCAAACTGTTTTCAAAGAGGGACCCACTCCTTGCCAAGAAGGGGAATTTGGGAAGGCCTGTTTTCCTCTTGTCTCTGGAGTCCTGCCTGAGTAGGAAATGGTTAAACAAAGAAGCTTGAAAGCCTTTGGGATTCAGCCAATCCTACAACCAAGCCCTGTCGCTGCCACCTCTGTTTTCCACCTAGCTCTAGCAACACAAACAGCACAACTAAATCCTGCATTGCAGAAGGAAAGAAGTGAATGAGGCGAGCTTCTTTTTTAATAGTAAGAACAACAAAGGAGAGCAGGGCGGCAAGCCAGTGTCCCTATATGACTCGTACTTCCCCAGCCCATTCCTGAATGACGTCTACTAGCTCTTTCCTCCCCTCCCTCTCCCCAGAGGCATGAGCTGCCAAGCCCTCCTTCTCCGTATCAAAGAGAGGAGTTTTCCCAGCAGCATCCTCTGCTTCAGTTTCCAGTCAGTTTACAAGCTTAGAATCCCTTTGTCTCCATGTTTAAAGGAAGCAAAGGAAAAGTTTGGGCAAGAGCAGAGTGTGGTGTGATTCATCTACAATTTGCCAACTTTGAGTAGCAACAGAGAGGATAGCTATTATTCATTAAACATGAAAGCTCCCGTAAGGGAGGGTGTCAGGAGAGCCAACTCAAAGGATGCAAACTTGGAAGAAATACCCTTTCAAATAAAGGGGACTTAATTCTAAAGCAAGCATTTAGGACTGAGGTGCCCTCTTGTTTTTAGAGGACTATGGAGGGTGGTGTCACTTGTTCTTTGGAAAGCATGTTTTTAATGCCTTTACCAAGCAAAGCCCTGGTTTGTTGGTTATTCCAGAGGTTACTACAAAATGGGAGGAAGGGCGCGTCAGAAGCAGCTCAACGGTGAGGCAGCAGCTCACCTCGCCTCCAGCTGCAGCTTGGGTGTGGCTACAGGTGGCAGAATGAGAGGCGGCCAGATCCAGCCCATGGAGTATAACCCACCAGGAAGTTCTCCCAGCCGCTTGAAATTAAAGGGAGTTCCTATGCCAGGCCACGGCTGTGCTCGCACAGTTCCTGACCATTTTGAAGGGTCTTTCATGGAAGAACTTCCTGGTGGGTTGTGCTCCATGTTGTGGGAGACACCAAACTGCCTTGGGTCATCATTGTATTCTGCAAAATCATTAACCCGCACAACTACAAGTGGGTAACCAGCAGCCACTGGTCATATGAGCTGAAAAGCAGTGCCAACTCTTAAATAAGGAGAGCAGGTGGGGGACCCAGAAACGGCTGGCTGTTGCCATTGACTTCCTTGCACCCTTGATAAGAGCAAAAGTGGAAACAATAAGCCCCAGCCATGGTTGGTGTTGAAAAGGAGGCCAGGCACATAATACTTTGTAGCATTAAAGTTTTACTCATTGTGGCCAATGTATTGCCAAGATGATTTTTCCCCTCCTTGTGAAAATTTGTTGAAGAAAAGAGGTGACTATATTTTTGAGACTATTATTGACAGTTTTTGTTCTGTGAAACACCAGAGTACACTTTGATTTAAGCACTAACCACTCTACTCTCTGTGTTGGTTGCTCTTGGGTGCCCCGTTATGGATTCTGATCAATGTGTCCCTCTCTCCTTTTCATTCTTTTAATTTCTAGGCCACCTTTTAACAGATTGGGTCTCAGTATAGCTTGCGATACCAGAAGGTTCGCTGCACAGAAACCATAGAAATGTAGACAGTACCGAAAGACAGTACTTACAATATAGAGAGCACCAAAATACCCCACGTCTCCACATCACTGCAAAACAAACAACCAAATAGCAACAACACCCACATGCTCCTTTTCCTAGAAGGGGCTGCTCTGCTGGCTATAAGTGGAGGAAGCTGAAACAATGCCTGGAAATAGGGCATGGGTTAAGGAGGGAGCAGAGATAGTGAAGGAAGGAGGGCAGCAGGTCACAGTTACACTTCTGTGTTTATTAAGGACAGGCTTGGCTGAACTACCTGTTACAGAAGCAACAAGAGCTGCACTGTAAGTTTTTAGGTTTACCGTTTTTCTCATTAACTTGTCCCAGACTTCAGTCCTGGGAGCCTGAACATCAGCCAGTTTCTCTTCCCTCTCCTCCCAACAAAGCTATTGGAAATAGACCAGCCAGTCACTAACCTGTGTGGGTCCTTAGGTGAGCCTTCAGATGGGACGACTTGCCGTAAACCTTTTCGCATCCCGCATAGTGGCATTTATGCTTCTTCTGAGGTAATTCAGGCTCAGTCCGACATCTTCCTCGCCTGCTTCTTTGCCTGGGGCTTGGCTGACTCGGTGCCCCCAAGCTGGTAGGTGTGGTTGCTCTGCCTCCTCCACGTTTGCCAGCCAGCAAGACACTTTCTTCCCCAAACTCTTTGTGGGAAAGAGAAGCCCCCCCTCTGTCAACGCTCTCAAGATTCTCCCCCTGAGGCGAGGAAAGCTTGGGTGGAACATGCTGGTTTAGGTCAGCTAAAATGCTGGCCACAGCATATACAGAGGACCCACCTCCATTGTCTCTCCCAACCTCTTTCACTTCGGGTTTCTCAGCTCTGTTTGAGATGATGCGGGGGGCAGCTCTCCCAACCGGCTGAGGGGCCGGTTCCCTCATGGGGCTGTGGATTACAGCACGGCTGGACATGGAGACAAGGCACTCGGCGGCAAAGTAGGCGGCTGTTGCCATTTTTCACGCCTCCTGAGGTGTATAAATCAACTGCAATTTTTCCTTTTGTGTTAACCTTCAAGAAACCCACATACACGCTCCTGGAGATTTCCTTTTTGTAGAAAATGAGATAGCTGGCTCCACAGCTCCCTGAAAAGTACTTTCTTTGTATGGGTCACACCCAGTTTCTCTCCTTCTGAATAGGAAAGGCATCCAGGGAAAACACCAAGCAAAACAAACCCCGTCCGGAACAGCTTTTTGTCTGAAACAAAATTAATGAAGGTTGTCCACAATAACAAGCCTGCAGTTCCTCCAGTCTCCCGGGTGCATTCTGACGGCAGGACTGAGCTGGTCCGTTATTACTCCTTGGATTGCTTCAGACCCTCATAGGGGTGTGGCTTTGCCAAACATCTGGCTGTGATGTCACATAGAAGCTGTATCCTGAGCTGATCAGGTTAGCAGCAAGCTGAGACTTCAGCTGCTGCTGAAGCAGCTGCTCCTGCTGCAGCCGCCCGAGAGCCAGCGGAGAGAACAGAGCAGCAGCAATGCAGAGCGAGCAATGTGGCTGTGAACTTGAGTTTGGACAGAGCATAAGAGCAAGTTAAACGAAAGGAAGGAGCTGATTGGCTTGGGATTAGCCAATCAACATAAAAAGATCCACATTTGCACTTCTCTGTGGGCTAATGCATCCCCCCCCCCCCCGTATGACCCAACAGAAGGCAAGAAATTCAAGATTACTCTTAGGCTTCTCTTATGCAAGACAAAATATCTCCTTGCAGAAAGAGGTTGCCTTTTCCTCTGGCAAAACAGTACATGTGCAGTTGAAAAGCTTTCTTGTGTGTGCACATGCTGTCATGCGCAAAGTGACTAATGATGTAAGTAACTTGTGCTGCGGTCATTAACCTCTTATTTGTTTTCAGGCACATTCCTTCTGCAGAGCCTTCACAACTTGAGGGCACAATACAGTAAAGTGTTTACTAGGGAAGGGCAATTTAACAAGCCTTGAATTCTCTCAGGCACCTTGGACCCAGGACTTGAAATACAAAGGTGGCGCTAGTAATGCCAGCCCAGGAATGTTTCATAGAGTTGTGAAAAACAAATGAACCCACTGCAAAAGTTGGTGGAACAGAACAGGCACAAACAATGTGTTTTCAGTTAACTGCAGTTCCACACTTTAATCCTTTTTAAAAAGGCAACTTGCTGGTGACTTCAGTCATCATCAGCAAACTGTCATTACTTTAATGTAAAGAGCTCTGCAATCTGTCACTGTCAGCGACTGCCAAGCACCAAGCTGGATGGCTGCGTATTCTTGTGACCAATGTCACAATTAGGTGAGCACATACTGTTTTGATGAAAAGTCTAGATGTTTCACCCTTTAGATTTGTCTCAGATATCACTTTAAACAAAATTCAGCCATAACCCTAAAAATAAGCAGTGGGCCCCTGATTTAGCCCCAAAGTGGGCTTTCTAGGGGAAAGTGTTGTGGCAAAGGCAAAATGGCCTAGACCCATACGTCCTAGGTGTGGGAGAAATGGGAGTGTGGACAAACCCTTGTTTTTTGTGATGGAAGTTTAATTAGAAATTGCACACAGATTGCATACTCTAGAAGGCAGCTCCCTGAATACAGTGTGTGGCTTGTTGTAGACAATCTTTCTGGCCAATGCACTCAAATGTCATCTTAGAAAAGCTAAAGGTTGCACAGAAATGGACACATGTTCAACTGTACAGGTTCCTTCTACAACAGCATGGGCGTCTTACCCAAAGACGTTAATGGCGCAGAGCACCAGGGCTCCAGTGTCTGGGAAGGAGAGTCAGGGCAGGCTCCCTTCCCCGCTCTGGGGCAGCCCGCTCCCCTCCTCTCAGCCACCCATTGGAGTGCACTGCGTCCAGCTCAGGGAAGCCCCTTTGTGTCCCCTCCCGCCAGGGCTGCCTGGGTGCCTGATGGGCGTGATTGGGGGCAGGCGCAGGGCGCCCCTCTCTGGCCGTGTCACTGCCTGCGCGCCTCCCTGCGGAGTCTGTGAATGGAGCAGGGAAGCACCCTGTGCGATCCCGGCGCCAAGCGAGGATGGCAGAGTCAACAAGCCACCTGATCTGCTTGCTGGCCCTCCTGTGGCGCAGACTTCCCCAGATGGAGGCTTCGCAGGAGGCCATCTGGGCTGTGATCCGTGCGCCTCTTACGTGCAGCGCCGAGCGTGCTTCGGACCACACAATGTAAACGAGCCAGACTGAAGGCTCACCCCCCACACACACACACTTAAGAAAGGTTGACAACTCTGGGAAATGGGGGGGGCATGGGGGGCGCCATAAAGATATTTGCACCACAGCACCGGATATGCTTAAGACGGCCCTGTACAACAGTGTGCCAATTCAGGAGAGAATACCACGTTGGTCACATGGGCCACTCTGGGGGGACTCCATTCAGTAATGGACAGCACCAGATTCATGGTGGTGCTGCAGTTCTGCCGCACAAGGCACTGAACCGAGGGGGTGCAGAATTGAGAAGATTGAGAGAAGGCAAATTCTGGCCTCATGCAGAACACCATACTACCACAGATTACCAAACTCTGCTCCTGATGATGTTGTGCTTGGAGGTGGGATTCTGGCCTTCTGCATACTTGTTAAAAAGCTACATGGAACTTACTTTCAAACCACTTTTCTGCTTCCCAATATGCTTTATGCTTTCTATTGTTGTATTTGATTACTGTATTGTAATATTTGAAAATAAAATTACAAAAACTTTTAAAAAGCTAAGCTGCTGGGCATCCCAGGCTGAAATTATTCAGAGACTGAAGTGCATTTGGTGATGGGATGGTGTGTTCCGCTGCCTCAAGATGCAGCTATTTATTATACATACATCTGCTACCTTTTTAGAAGCTGTGAAACAAGAATATTCATATTTCCTGAATCTAAGCTCTGGAACCATCCTTTTGGGTTCTGTTAAACTCATTTTATGCTGCTGGTATTAGCCCTCAGCCTCCCACCCAGAATCCTGCTCACTTTTTACATTTTAATATCCCACCCCTTTGTACTCAACGAAAATTGCGTATGCCACCAAATGTTCAGAAATATGTTTTAATTTGAAATTCTAAGGAAGAATAGAAGAGCCAGATTTGAGAAAAGCAAATTGATCCACCAGGTTTATGTTGTGTTGTTATGTTATTTGATCAGATTTTATCCATATTGGACCTGATTTTTCAACCTGGCGTTTACTAGCCAATGTGTACAGGAAGTTCCTTGTCTGTACACAAAGAGTGCATTACCCTTCTGTAATGTTGATTGTTTTACTTTTAGTATTTAATACCTGCCCCACAAACCCTCCAGGTTGGAGAGAACACAACTGAAGGCTATCTGTGTATTGATTTGGAGTTTCATTGTGAAGGCTGGGGGAAATGTTCCTGCCCAATTGAGCTCCCATCTACCCAAATCATCATCCACAAACGCACCTTCTCTTTCATTCCCTCCTTCTTTTGCTGTCTTAAGGTAATGGGAGTTGTAGTCCCAAACTTCTGGAAGGCACCAGGTTGGCTGCTGTAAACAATATCAAGCTAAGATGGACCATTGGTCTGACTCAGTATGAGGCAGCATAACAAAAGCTCTAGTCAGGAGACCCTGGGCAGGCTCCCATCCAGTAACTGGGTCCTGGGAGTTGAAGGCAGTTAGCTTCCTGTGTTTGTCTATCTGGGTTTTAAAATACAGCATTGTGCTCTGGCTGTTCTAGAGGATTCACCTGACCCACCCTCCCCCTTTCTTTTTTAAACCTTCTGGTGGTTGCCCTTTCATGGCTAAGAATCATTGACTAGAAACGAGTGCGTTGGTTGTGCTCAGTCCAGCAGGTGCCACCTAATTGCATGTGTTCATTTCGCAGCTGCCATGTGGGCCCAATGGCCAGCTGAGTAGGAGGAGGAGGAAAGTTCATCTGAACCCTGGCATGGGCAACAGCCTTCTCAAACAATAGCACCATTGTTCTTGAGCAGGGTCGGTGAACGCCCAGGGGCAATGCTCAGAGATTAACACTTTTAAATTATTCCATGCTGTACAAATGCTGAACAAAGCTCCTCAAACCCATAATAACATAATGTCGTGTGTGTGTTTGTTTTTCTTCAAAATTGTAAACACACACACACACACACACACACACACGAGAAATAGATGGCCTTTGAGAACAAATGGGATTCCATTCCTCCTTGCAACAAAAGTGCCCACTCTCATGATTTCATTTCTGTTACACAAAGATAGAGAATTAAGTTGCAGCTGCAATGCTCCCAGATGTAACTATGCTCATTAATGTGAGTTATTCTTTTTTCTTTGACTTTCCTCCCGCTTCGTACGCTTGTTTTGCTTTATGTTCTAGCCTGATCAGGCATGAGAGCTTGAGTTATAATAAGGATGTTGTGTTCATTTTCAGAGATGGAAGTTTTAATCACTTGTTGCAGTTCTCGTTAGCGCCCACCACTCCCAGCGGGGTTCCACTAGCCAGACCTCATGAACACATGCTTTATAATGCAGCTGAATTTGATAGATTAAAAACTTGCAGCCAAAGCTTTTTAAGGCTGTAGATGCTGTGTATATTTCTACTTGCAGTAGCTATCGAAGGTCCCACTACACTGTCTGCTCAGATTAGAACACCATAATATTTAATGCTATATGGAAATATTTTATTCATTGCATAGGGGTTTATTGATTACACAGGGAGCACTGGCACCAGGTGTGGTCATCTTACAGTGCTCTAGCTGATGTGGCGTGGCAATCTCTTTTATGAAGCCCCATGCTTCATGCAGAGCCCTAATTGTGTCCCTGGCACAATTCCCAGATTATTCTCTGGAAAGACCCAGCCCTGGCTGCCATATTTTGATGACATTATTCTATGTGGCTCAATGCAAGGTGGGCAAAAGGTTCTCCCCTCAGATGTAATTGATGTTCCACTGTCTGAACTGCACAGAGCTTGGCACGGTGTCTAGCATATTCCACTCATCTCTTCTGTTCCCCAGAAGTCGCAGGGATGTTGCTCGGCCCCTGGAACTCCCTGCCCAGGGTATTGTCTTTCAGTGCTGGTGTCTCAAAATTGCTGGGAGGTTCATAAAACAAGCTTTTCTGCAGTTAATCAGACCATTCATTCATTCATTCATTTAATACATGGATATACATAATTGTTTAGAAGCTTTTGTTCAAGTGGGGTTGTAGCTCTTATTGATTTTTTTGGGGTATTTTTATTTTTAGATCTTATTATGATTTAATGTAGAAATTGTTCAGTCTGCTTGTGTTCTTTCTGATGTGTTTTATATTTATTGTTTATGACTATTTTTCTTAGATTTGTAATCATGCAATTTTTTCCATGTTGTAAGCCACCTTGAACATGGTTTTAACTATGAAAAGGCGGCATACAAATGAAATGGTTTGTTTATTTATTTGTAACAGCTGCATTGCGTCCTTCCTTGGTGTCGAGGGCAAACATGTGCACATACGGGAGCGCACCAGGTGGGACCAGGGGCTGGGCGCGGAGGGTAAACAAAACCCACCGCACTGGCCCACCTCTTGCTGCTGCCGCCACTGGCAGAGTGTGGGGCACAAGGGGACCACACTGTGCCATACCGCCTGCCTGTGCAGGGGCAAGCCTTGCTGGCTGATGCCACCCTTGGCGGGTGCATCCCACCAACGCTGCCATTCAGCAAGGAGGCTGGGGGTGTGGCGGCAAGACCCCCAGGGGCAGGCAGGCTGAGGATCCCTGTGAGCGGGCACCTGGCTCATGCCCCCCTCAAAATCATATGCCTGGAGCTATGACCCCCCCTGGTTCTGCCCCTGATT